GTACTTCTTATTGAGTGCCTAGGCCATCCTACACATTAAGGCCATTATTAAACATTCCTTTAATGCACATGATAGATTTCTAATTTTTCGTCAGATTTCAAATCATATTCTGAGTTTTACGAAGCCTAATGATAATTTCTTGAATGTAACAGCTAATTTTACCTTGGCTAACTAAGTTTTAGTTCTCCAATCATCATTATTAGAGATTTTTTGTTCCCTTAACGAGTAAGAAGCTCTGTAGCACCTTGCAGCTTTTTTCGACGAATTGCACTTCATACTAGGGCGGAAAATTTGCCATTAACGTGCTGAAATTATGGATGGTACCAGCGTGGTCCCCGGGGCCTTATTACTCTGCGGATCTACAAAAGCCAACAATTCAGTGTCAAGGATACCGAAACTATAATCAATGCACTAAAATACTGAGCAAAATTAGGCTGTTTTTAACATGAGATAAATAAATATTGTGTTGTTTGAGAATTATGAAGAGAAATCACTGCTTGGAGGAGCAGGAAGTGAATGCGCTGTTACTTGCAGGGTCATAGTCAAGGGCCTCGAAGTGGAAAGACGATTTCCTGCTACAAATCCTTTCAACTTTCGAGATGAATACCACTTTGACTCACAGAGGGTTGGTTACCAAGTTTTCCGTTGCCTTAAAGCCTGATGCACTATTGCATGTCCGAAAGTAGCATCAATTTGTTGCTTTGTTGATGCGGGTGCATCCGCACCTCTTTCGTGTGTACACTCATTTAAACCACTGAGAGTGCACAGCCTCCTGAAGCAGCGCAGTGACCTCCGACGCTTCATTTGGTTAAAAAAGACATGTGACGTTGGTGATAATCTTATGTGAGGCAAAAGAAGTCAGCGACCACTTCCTTGTCGAATTTGACATTATTTGAATTGATCTGACGCCTCTGATACTACGTTCTATTTCTACACACCCACACTGATTTCCATGCTTTGTTTTGATAAACACCATACCTCCTAGTCATCAAAGTCTATCTACAACATTTTATTCGTCATCTTAAATTATTCACTTTTTGTCACGGTTATATTGTCTTTATGCTCTTCTAAATGAGAATCCTGTTCTTGAAATGCGCGAAGAGTAAATAAAGTTATGTGAGCCGAGTGGAGCTCTCTGGGTCCTTGGAGTATTTGATGAGGTACATTTATTTGAAAGACGACGTACTACTGACATACAGTATGGCAGGAGGACTAGTGGCATAGTCAAAGGAGTAGTCTGCCAGGCAGAAGCACAAAGTGAGGAGAAGGAAGAACCTGGGAAGGTTAATGTATGAGTAAACGAATATCAAATCCCTGCATAGTGATTGTAAGAGGCATCTCTAGAGTTTTTGTTCGGAAACCTTCTCCATGACGCTCACACTGCCATCTGTGCATTAAAAAGCGGCC